GGAGGAGTAGCCTCCAAATTCTCCCATAGTGGCTCATGCTGGTATGAGCAGTATTTTTGTGCCAAAGGCAGTGTAATTTCCATCACCTTTACTAGTACAGATGAACAATGAACCAGGTGGTTATGCTTTTAGATACACACAGGTGCAAAGTGTGGGCATTCCCACATTTTGAGAGAGAAGCACTGAAAGCTCAGAAAAGGTCCACCTATATCTCTGTATATGTACAAGTAGTATGTGTGTAGTTTTCTACCCCATGAATGCTTTTATTGCCATTAGGTGTTACAAAAGTCCAAGAAGTTTTGCTATTCTAGTAGATTTTATTTTATCTGCTCTCCAGCTTTCTCACTACATGGATGAGATTTCATTCTCAGTTAAAGACAGCTTGCATTTTCAACAAGTACATTTAAGTCAAATCTTCTGTGACATGTCTTGGCAAATTTTTTCTATACTTTATAGAGATTACAAAACTCTGTATAACTCTTTGTGCACTTTTGTCGCACTGATGACTAGGCTCTTTCTGCAAAGCAGATTTGCTTGCCTCTCCTGCAGTTTTAAGTCTGAAGCAGTAGTAAGTCTCCTCCCAAATGATACTGCATTCCTTTTATTTGAATGGTGTAGTCTCCTAGCATTAAGAGAATACCAAGAAGCTTGAGTGTTACCTGAACTTACTTTCAAGTGATGCATAGGTCAGATGCTGAAGAAACCTGTGTCTCATTGTCTCCCTCTCTTTTAAATTATTTGTTTGTTTGTTTGTTTGTTTGTTTATTTTCTAGTCTCTTAGAAGTTACAGGCATGACCAGATCATGACAATCTTCAGTGCAGAGGGAGTTGCAAATTGCATATTTGTGCAAGGTGGTGTAGTTCACATTATTCTCTCTATGTCAGAAATCCATTTTTAAAAGCAGTGAACTGTTAATTTTCTTGATGAAACATACTGTGGAAAGCAGATCGGTAAAATCACTGATGCTGGAATTTAGATACCATACCTGTCTAATACATCTCTTTTATCATTGTAAGTAGATTGAGATTTAAAATGTCTGAGTGAACATCAGATTTTTGATTGTGACAATTCACAGTGTTCCTTGAGCATGAATCCCATTCTTTGAGATGTTACCTGTCAGGTTTCTGTTGAATCTCTAGCTGTATTACTAGGAGGGACCTGTTGTTGAGAATCTTCCCCCAAGTATGGGTTGATTATGCTTCCATAAACACAAGAGTGCTTTCGTGAGACCAGGTTTTAATAAAACCATTTGTTGATGAGGTCTATTCCTGTTCTCTGTTCCTGGAAGACTCTGGTAACAGTACTGTTCTGTGTGAAGGGAATGTGGGAGTTTTGCCTTTAACAGCTGATTTAGGTTTTTTAATTAAACCTTGAAAGTAGACAGAGTTGCATAATTCTGTAGTGACAAGTGTTGTAATATCAGCACCCCCATCTTTGTACTTCATTGTTCTCATGTGTACTGAGTACGTCTTGCAGGACTGAGCATCTTCACAACAGATAGTACTATCTGGGCTTTTAGCTTTCCGCTTAGTTATTTGTTGTCCTCTTATTGCTGTTGAGGTATCTATTACCGTCTTATTACCTCTCACTTAAAGACTACCAACAAATATTTCAGGAAGATACCCATCTGTCCTTCTTGCATGGGCAAAACCTACTGCTTCTTCTGTAACCTCATTTTTTGTTTTAAACAAGGGTAGTGTATTTCAGTGGGAGGTAAAAGGTTGTTTCTCCAAAACTGTTAAAAGAAAGGAGATAATGTATGGTTTATTTGAATACATGACTTGCATTTGTCTTTCCTGCAAACAAGCACAGTAATATATGTTATTGCATAACCCTTTGAAACAGAAGCTCTAGAAAAATGAGACTAAGGAAGCCACAGACTTTTAGCACTGTTGTAAAACTTAAGTTTTAAAAAATCAGTAGAAGTCTGTTGGTATGTCTTATGAAAAATTACTTGCAGATTAATCTCCTTGAGCTGAGAAGCCTTAAATAAGTACATTAACAATTCTGTTATCACACCTCCATGAATTATGCTCAAACGATAATTAATTGTTGTTAAACAACATAAAATTCTGATATGTTGTCAGTTCCATTGCAAAAAGCAGCACAGTCACTTTCTCAACTAATTTCTGCTTGAAGCCCAGCACTGGGGAATGGAATAACACAAACAAGGTAATGAGTTTTAAACTATTTATCAGGTGACAACAGTATAATTGAACATAAGATAATGAATGGAAAACTAACATTTATCAAATGGTTTCTCAGACTTAGAAATTGCCTGTCTCAGACTTTAAAATTGTCAGATATATTGATAAAGAGACAGTGTGTCTCTGCCAACTGCTAAATGGTCAAGAAAACTTTTTCTATGCATAGCAGAGATTAACAGCTAGCAAACAGCAATCTTTTACAATTTTAAGTCTCCCTTAAATTTACAAGACTACAGAACTGTGATTGTTTGGGGTATTTAGTGCATTTCCAGTTAGTCTCTCAATGTCTATATTTTCGTAAGATGGAGGCTTTGGAAAATTGTTTCCTCATTTTTCATGCAGAACTTCCTTCAGCTCTGCAGAACCTTACCCTGAGAGGTGCTCTGTGTGTTAGTGTTCATTATGGTCGTGCTGTGTCAAGGAACCCATGACTTAGCCCTGCTCACCTTTGCTCATCCTGTGTCTCCAGCTTCCCAATAGGTAAATACAGCTTTGAGGCCTTGCTTGCCTCACCAGGGTCACTGTTCAAATCTGATGTAGAGTTGCCAGATAACTAAGAGAGAACAAAATGCAGTTTCAGGGATTATTTTTTCAGCTGCACTTAAAGTCACTCTGAACAACAGCACAAAGGTTAAGGTTTGATAAATCTTCAGGGTTTTTAATGCAGTTCAAGTGTTAGCATTGCAGCTAGCAGGTGGAGGTATAAAAGAATAAAAGAATGTTGCAGGTTTGCTCCAATGCTGGGATTTTGATTTCTTGTAATGCCTCTACTTCCAGAATGCGTCCACCCCACTTGTGGTCTGTTTTCAGATCCTCTACGAAAACTCTTACAAGTGATGCAGCTGTCATTTGAAGCGACCTTAACCCTCTACTCTCGTGCTAATCCATAACTTGAACAAATGTTTTTTCATCCTTACATTCGAAAGCATTGTGGGTTGCCTGTACCTAATTTCTGGATGCACTAGAAATCTTTGTACACAATGTGATGGAGTCATCTTTTGTCTAAGTGGTAACAGAGTTTATTTTTAACTGTAGCCTGTATACCTTAAGCAGTAGACAAATTGTTGACCTGCCATGATCCTTTGAACCTGAAATGTACACTCACAGCTGTTGTATAAGCAGCCTGACAGAAGGAATTTATTTGCTTGATTCCTGATTAAAATGTGATCTGAAGGTAACCAGGTGAGTTTCTGGGGAACCTATAGGCAGGTTGGCTTTAAGAGAGGCCATGGCACAAATCCACACAACACACCCGTACAGGATGGATCTGCCTGTGAAGAAAACCTTAAGCAAGGGGCTAGTGGGAGGTGGACATCTGAGCAGGGTGAACATGCATGGACCCTGTGGCGTGTTATCCCTGCTGTTGTGACAGCTGCACACTAGCAGCAGGAGCTGGGGACTCTGCCAGAGGGGGCTGATGGCATATGCACCGGCAAGGGGGAGCTGTGGCCACCGTGTCGTGTGCATGTGGGAGGGCATGAAGTTGTTCACAAATAAGTACTGCATTTCTGGACTTTCTTAAATCTTAAGTGAATTGCCAGGCACAGATATATAGTGTCTTGCTTGAATTGGATTGTACTGTTCAAAATTGTCCATAAGAAATCATGACTTCATATGACATAACTGTTTTTTCTAAGTGTTGAAGATAAAATTTTAACAAGTAGAGAGTTTTCTGGCTTTGTCCGGAAGTGTGGCAGTAGTTTTGGATAAGGATATGCTTTTATTAAAGTCATGAGGAATTCAAAGGTATGCCCTGTTACTTCCTCTCTTAGATTTTAACACTCCACAAATGACATCTCATTGACCTATGCATCTGCAAAGGCTAGCAGAAGAGATCAGACTCTGTTGTCATAGCTATGAATCTGTGTCAGATTTATCATCCAGAGTCCTTCTCCAGTTTCTGCTGTACACTTTTGTGATACTATTAAGCATTGCCATTTTACTGCAGAATTTGATAGAGAAGGAAATCACAATTGTTAAGAAGAGAGAAGTATTGCTCTTTGATATGAAGGTGTACTTGAGACAGAACACATTAATTTGGTCTTTATTTTTGTACTAGTATTACAGCTGCCTTCTACATGCATCTATGTTCCCATGCCTTTTAATAAGAGACCAGTGTTTAAGGTAATGAAACATGGGAAACATTGCTTCTGTCTTACCAGTGGAATGTTTGGGCAGGCTTGTAGAGGAATGAGTGATAATAGGCAGGGGCAGAATCAGGCACAACTCCCAGACCTCGGTCTGAACCAGTTCCCTCCATGTCACCAGGTTTATGACCTGCAAAATGATGTAGAATCTCCAAAAGGATTAGTTGTTCTACAGCAAGGACATTTTGTAATCAGTAGTATTTAAATGTTTTGTATGTTTCAGTAGGTACTTTATCTGCTGCAGGGCTGATTGTTTAGCTTTGGCAAGATGGTGTTGATTAAAACTTCTCAGTGAATGTGTTCACAGCTATGTCCATGCATTAGATCAAGTGCTTTGTAAACATTTCCCTAAAGCCATTCTGATTTCAGGTCCCTATTACCAAGCAATGCAGCTCCTCTTGTTCAGTGGCTCATATAATCCCAGAATGTATCTGGAGCATGTTTATGTTAAGTCAGCTATGAAAGCAGATGTACGAAGAAGATCTGTTACAAAAAGCTGGTATGCTAGTTGCATCAGTCTGATCTATCTTTTTTGTTACTGTATTGGGTATGAAATATTAATATCCTTAATAAATCCTTAATATTTGGTAAGATTTCTGTTCCACAAATAAGTATTAAAGATGTTGTTTTTTTTCCTCCTTTTAGATCCATTTCAGTTCCTTACCAAAAATGAACCTGCCAAGAAACAGATGGCTCAACCAGCTCTAGCTCGGAAACCCACTGTGATCCGAATCCCAGCTAAACCTGGGAAATGTAAGTTCTTCTCCCATATGTCTGAGAAATGTGTTAGAAAACTGCTTCAATTGGGACTTAACATTTAGTAATTGATTTCCTGTTTAGTAGCTAATATCAGCTGCCAAAGGAATCCCATGATACAGTTTGACAAGACAGAGGAGCCGGGGAGGGAGGTAGATGAGCATCATCTTCCACTCTCACTGCTGCCTCATTGGGCTCCCTCTCTTGAGTTTGATGTCTCTCAAACCTAATGGAGCTGATGCATATCAGAGGTGAAACTGTATGTAAGAGGCAGATCTAAAGGGTAGAAAGGAAGACTTGGAAGAGACCCTTGTGGCAGAAGCAAGCTTGTTTTGTCTGCTAAACAGAGTTGAACCTTTGGCTGAATTGACTTTGGTGGTGACCTTTGCTGAGATTTAGTGCTGCTCCCTAGCTTCCTTGTCAAAATAAAAACTTTAGTGTGTTAAACTTTTCTTCAAATACAGCTTGGTTGTGTTGTTTACCATAGTTTTCATAATTTAAATCAAAAAGTGCCATTTAAGCAAGAATGTTTAGGTAACAATTTGAGGGAATAAAAAAAGAATTGTGAGAACTGGGATGCAAAAACCTTATGTGTTCAATTTAATGTCAGGGTCTTGACTATAGTTTTCTGAGAGTTACTGTATTCCTAAAGCCTGCCACCTCTAATTCTCTACAGCTTTACAAATGACACTGACAGTATCTCAGAGTGGAAATTTATCAGAGCACCACAAGGTCTTTGTGTTGGCCTTTGTATGCTGGAGTGTGCTATTTGCAGAATTCTGTTTGGCCTTATCTTTGATCCTCAGAGCTTAGGGAAAAATGTCAAAAGATAGATGTCTTAAAGTCATGTTTCAAAATCATGTTTTGCCACATTTAGTAGAAGTGTATAGTCAACTTGTAGTAACCATATGTCCCGGTGGTATTTCTCCTAAGAGCTTCACTCATTATTTCCAATCTCCCTCCACCACCAACCCACTGTTAAACTACTAAATTTTCTTTTCCCCATATATGTGAGAATTGTGGTGGAATTGATTAAAAATGCAAAGAAGACTGAAAATAAAGCTGTGAGGAAAAGTCTTTCTGTTAATACCTGATTAAAAAGAAAAGGTTTTTTCAATTAGAAAAATATGTGTATGAAGTACTGTACAGAGGCTATGACATAATTCTTCTCTATAAAGAAAATTTGAACTACAATTAAAAATGAAACAAAAAGCCAACCAACTACCTGACATTTTTTTCTTTTCCTTTTTTTTTTTTTTTCTGGATGTATTCCCTTTTGAACGTGTAGATGACTGGTCCCTTGCTGCTCTCTAGTGATAATTGAAGTTTCCACAAAGGACTGCCAGTCTTGTACTTGGCTACAAACAACAGGAGATTGTGAAGGACTGCCTGCCTTATGGGAGTCGGTGGTTGGAAGATTAATGGGATAGGGAAGAACAGAAGCAGATTCTGAGAAAGCAGAGTAGCCTTTTGTCACATAGAAGCTGCTGCAGAAATGTAACCTGTTAAATGTTAAAAGAGGAGAACAGTACAACTGAGCCGAGGCATAAATGGATATAGTAGGATTTACATTGTAAATGGGCCGCATGATCTCAGTACAGCAGAGTCTTTTGCCATCTTGTTTATGGAGGAAATAAATTTCGTCAGAAACCAGCAAAAATGGGAAAGAAAACCCCCAATAAACAAAACAAAATAAGACAAATTTTTAAAACCCCCCAAAAACAGCCTACCCAGCACTACAGACGACAGGAGAGAGAACTGCTTAAGAATTTGAACTCCAGTGAAATTTTCAATTAGGATTAGCATTTTTGTCGAGATGTGGTTAGAAAGGAAGCATTAAAATTTCACTTCGGTTATTACACTTAGAAATCACTGAAAGTAACACCTGCCTTCTAGTTGGGGCTTATTTTTTTGTAATTGTTCCTCTAGTTCCTTTAATTCTGACCGTAAAAAGAGTAAGGGAGAGGAAATTAGGCCATTTGTGTATATAGCAAGATTTGAAGTGGTAAATAAATGTCTTATGCTTTTTATATCAGTAAGACATGATAAGAGATTTCTTTTGGAATTACTGCCAGGTATTGTTTTCACTTTTCATCCATCACAGTACCTTAGAAAAGTTATGAACTTCCTAACCTTTTTCCCTCATGCCTAGTCACTGCCAACACTATGAGCTTCTCCTAAAAATTCAACTGATCCATTGAAATGATCCATTTTTAAACATCACAGCAGTGTTTTACATAATAGTAATGCAACAAAGGTGTTGAAAATAAACAACACTTCTCCTTCCTTTGTGTTGTTTCTTTGTTGGGAATAATTTTCATGAATTGAGGAACTGAAGGTTTTGTTTTAGATAGCATCTCTCCTCTTTTTTTTTCTTTTGTCATCCGTCTATAAATGTCCAGGCTGTCTACACATATTCTTATGTAACTCCAAGTTCAGCTGGAGGTCAGAAGGGCTTAAGTGTCTATAGTTCTTTCTATGAAATTAATTTTCTTGATATACAAACAGATCGTAAAATAGATTACATGGTTCCAATATATAAAGACAAAATGTTCAGTAAATATGCTGACAGAACCTGTCCAAATGCTTCCCGGGTTTCAATGGCAGAGACGTTGAAAGCAAATGTCATATATTTAGAAGGGTTTCCTATTCTTTATTGAGCGTGATGACATCATCACTCTTCCCTAGTGAGGTCTGTAGTGTTTCCTCTTCCTTGTCCTAAACTTACTTTGCTTTTAGTCTTTAAGACCACCTGGGAACTTCCATCTCTGTTTTCTGTCATCCTGAATTTTGTAGCAGGTAGAAATGTGATGATGGCATTTCCGGGTATCCAGTAATGAATCTGACATTCCAAGGGGTAGAAACTCTTCTACTTGTCTAATAATATATCACCAAATTTTGCAGCTGAAACCCTGAAACTCTGAAATGACTTGATGGTGTCCTGAGAGTAAAGTGAAGACCATTATGCAGGATGGGAAGTACTTAATTCAACCTCAGAGTTACAATGTTCTCCTCATGTTCCTTTTCTCTTCACTTTTCTTTAAGTGGTTCTTTACTTTGGCTGCTCTGGCTTTGAGGAAGGAAGTTGCATTCACACAAAAAAATGCCTCAAACCAAGCTGGATTCCTTTACCTATTGTTGATCCACGTAAGGAAGGTATTAATTAGACTTTTATTTGGGATTTTTTGGACTTTTTACAGCTTTAAATGTCATCCCACATGGCCCTCCATCACTTCCTGCTGAAAAGCCTATTGGGAACACATCCAATATCACAGTGGGAAAACTCAACAGTGGTGACCTAGTGAAAAAAGGGGTAAGTTAGAACTATTTTCCTGTATTACAGCTTTGTCTGCTTTGGTTAAAAGATCTCTTGTGATCCTCAAGCATTTGTAAAGTAAGTTATTTGAGGGAACAGAAGATGAAAACAACTGCTCAGAAATGTAAAGCTTTTTTCTTTTAATTCTGTTCTCTAATTTAGTAGGTAATTTAGACTGCTGTCAGTTTTGAAAAGCACTCTGGTGATTTTACTAAACTTTGATCATATCTATCTTCAATTTTCTATATTCATCATCTGGAATCAGGCTATTCTACAACTTAGTGTCAAAAACATTGCAAAGTGGCTCAAAGTCCAATGGGATTTACATGGTAAAATGTTGTCAAAGTGCTTTAGAAATGTATTTTTTTACCTTCACGCACACAATTCCTCTTGGTGTCTGTGCTAATTTGAAGGCAGAGGAAACTTTGCTGTAGAAGAATGAAGCTTGCTTTTTTTTTTCGGCTCTTTCCTTCTGGTTGTTTCTGCTGAGTTGAGCCACCTATTTTGGGAATTAAGGCTCTGCTCCTTTCTCCAGAGCATGTACCTAGTCATGGTAGACATTGTAGCTAAATTACATTTGACACAAAGTTTCAAAAGGGAATTAAAATAAACTAGAAAATGAAAGTAAAATTTCCAAATACTGAGTTTTCTGATGGCAAGAATGGCAGAGAATCTTGTGAAAACCACAGGCAGTAAAAAGTAAAATCAAATTAAAAGCCCTTACTAGATGGACCCTGCCAAGAAATGCCTTTGTAGCTACCTCTGCTATTAAGATAAAGGGTACTAAAACGTTGTAATTGAAAAGGCTATTCAGAGATGTCTCACTTTTTCTGGATAATTCTGAAAAAAATAATTTATGAAACAAGTCATTAAGTGACATTTTATGCAGTGGAACTCCAAAACTTTTGCAATGTCATCCAGGTTATTGTGATAAGTTTTTAAAAGAAAGATTATATTGAATCCACTGGAACATTGAAATCCTATCTTTGGAAAGGTAAGAACTGTGTTCTAAAAGTACATTGTTTGTCAATGGGAGTGATTAAGCAGCAATAGCAAAAATGGTTGACCATAAGCAGCAGTTGGCATAGATTTCTTTCTTTTCACACAGAAGAGGAAAATTTTTGATGCGAGGATAACATCCTCATCTGAAAATGGCAGATTGTTTTCTTTCTAGTAGGGTCATTTAATCAGAATGTTAATTTGGGGGCTCAGTCAAGGGTCAGATTTTGTCACAAAATATATCTGTGTGTTTTCTAGGTGGGAAAAATCACAGAAATTGTTTATTAGATTCAAGAACCTAATTAAGTAAACAAGACTGTTCAGACATATTTAGAAGTACTGGTTCAGAAAGGGTTCTTTTGAACCCAGATTCAGTACTTTAATTTATGATGCTGTTCCAGAAGCAACTGAGCTTGTTCTGCAAAGCTGGCAGAACTTTCTGGCACTGGGATGAAAACGAACAGCGGGAGGCAGTAAGGATGGTCACTCGTTAATCCATCACTGTGGTCCAAGCCCTTCAGACATGGCATATATCTTCCTCTCTGACTGCTGTATGGTGGTAATCGCAGGCAGAGCCAGCATAGGCAGCTGGGAAGAGTGATGCCAAAGCAAGATTCACTGGGTCTTGTCTGTTAGATCTCTAGCAAACATATTTAGATGCCTTCTTTAATGGGAGCTAATGTTATTTACAAGAGATGCTGTCCTGTGCGAGTCGCATTAATGTCATGTTTTCTGCTTTCCATGTATCAAAGTTGATAATGCAAATTCTTGTAGACATTGTAATTGTACATTTGTATGACTGTCCTGAAATTAGCTCTTAAGTCCTTACTGACATGTAGTAGGAAAGGAGGGGCTGGGTCATACTTAATGCATAATTTAAGCTGTGTTTCAGGTATTAAATCAGGTTATTTACTGTCCATATTTCCCTCCATGTTCAACAACACTTTAAAATTGCAGAATCATACCATTATACTTACTACTTTAGTCTCAGACCTCTAGAAACTCTTGTTTTTCATGTCCATAGAATATAATTTAATATAAGAATTATATCATTTAAACAAGGTTTTTTATTTTTCTTAGGCTTAAAGAAATGTCATTTTTCTTTTGAATGGTTGTAGGAGTTGAGTCACTCAGAACAGTGTGGAGTGCCTCAGCTAGAACCTCTACTACCCCCAAGGTGAGTATTGTTCTTCAGATTCACTTTGAAGTGGTGTTCCTGAATTAATTTGTATGGTTAGTCTCAATCTAGACACTACTGACTCCAGTCATAGCTCAGCAGTCTTGGCTGGGCACTAAGCTCACTAATAAATAGGCAGAACTAAGCTGAAAGCTCTTTAATATTTGTTTGTACATTATGGTGTGAGCAAGATTATAGGAGAGCAGCTGTTTGACCTTTCAGCTAATGTACAGTGGCTGCTGACAGTCATTCCTTTCTGAATCTTGAACCTTTTCACCCACAGCACTTGCACTTGTGGTGGGATTTGGATGGTGAAGGAATGGAGGTCAGATAATGCCACGCTGAAAAGGGCAGATGCTGTGCCAGCAGTTTCCTAGAAGCACTGACTAGTTTATATACTTCAGACCTAAAATGCAGGTGCAGGATCACTGATAACCTTGGGGTTTTTTAATCTTGTGAACCAAAAAGAAAGAACGTCTTTAGCAAGGGCAGAAGTTGCTGGACCAGCCTTTAACTCATGTCCATCAATGCCAGAGACACAGTGGATGGAGATCTGGCATTGACTAGCCAGCCCACTGTGGGTATCTCAGTGCTTGCATTCCAAATCTGTGAGTTTAAACACAAGAGTTTGCTATGTTGTGTTAGGACAAGAGAATCTTTCTGTTATTGAAATGAGCCTACCGATAATAGTAAGTATTGATTAACAGGAAAGAATGTGGATGTGCTACAAGGAAACACCTCATTATTGTTCCTTACTGGCTTGTTCCTTCCCCATATTCAGTTTAGCATAACATTCCTGATTCTTATGAAGGTCTCTGGTACTGCAGTAAATATTTTGTCTTTTCACTCTTCTGCTCAAATGGATTTTTTTTAAGTAAGCTGTAATAATTCACTGAATTGCTTGTTGGGATCTTCTTGTTTAGTTGAGTTGCTTAAAAATATGTAAGTTGGTCTGTTTACAGATTTAAAGCAGTTTAACTTGGAATATCCTCTTTTTTCAATATTAAAAATGCCTTGTTTAAGATGAGGCCAAGAAAAGGGAGAGGTGGATGATGAAGAGAAGTGGAATTTTTTTTTGAAATTTAAAAATTGTTTCATACTCAATTAGTAATAGAGAACTCTTTTCAGGAGCATTAGTAGAGCACTAGTACCTTCTCAAGTGATGGGTGACACAAAATGTGTTAGAATGATACTTCAAAGATCCAGCAATGCACACTTGGGGTTGGTAATTTTTGCAGACCCATGCAAATTGAACATGAGCAAATAATTATGCTGAATTACATTATATGAGAAAAGATAAACAGTTGTAGCAGAAACTTGCAGTACCTGGTTGAAGATAGCCCAATAACAATCAAATGATACTGTATTTTTGGAGTATTACTAGTAATATTAATGGCTAGTAAACATTACTACTGTCACTTCCTAGTCTCTGATTTTGATTTCTGAACTGCTGGTCGGCTAATAAGAGTGTGGGACCTCCAGCATTGCCATAGAACTTGAGTATTTTCACCAGTGTTTTCTTTGTGCGGTAGACATCTGTTGCATAAAAATGGTAAATTCTGCTATTGATGGCAATGTGCAAAGTGATGTGATATGTTATGAGTTTCATCAGAGTCACTTCAGATAAGTGACATCCCAAGGAATGGACTAGATTGATTCCTAAAGACCAGCTTTCACAAAAGTTCTCCAATAGCAGAACTTCATCCTGCAGGAGCTACAAAGAAAGCTCTTTGTAGAGGTGGATTGCTGAAACAAATCCTGCTTATTTAGTGGGCTCCCCAGAAGGCTAGCAGACTGTTGGTGAGCAGACTTGGAAATACATAGTCAAACAATCTGTCAGAGGACATGATAATCTGGTCCCAGTCAGTATCTGAAGAGTTCATGTATTCCTGGAAAGCTTCAGCTACTGCACACTGTACAGCCCAGGTCATCATAAATCTTGTTTCCTTACTGCACACTTTGTATATAGGATGACGCGGCAGGCTTATTAATATGCATATTTCTCTGATGGTTTGCACAATTTTTAGGCCTGTGGATGGAAAAATTATACCTGGTCGACCTCCCCCACCTAAAAGTGTTCCTGGAAGGCCACCTCCACCAAAATTCTCTGCAGCCAAGACCTCCTCCCAGAAGGATGTTCTTTCGCAATCTAGTTCTGACATTGCTGCTGATAAAAAAAACAGCAAGTTCAGGTTGGGACCCAAGAGAGCAAAAAGTGCAGTCTTTAAAAATCCAGATCCAGCATTACCTCCTCGACCTAAACCGGGTCATCCTCTCTACAATAAATACATGGTGAGAGTTGAGATATTCTGAGTACATTATTTTTATAAAACAGTACTGGTTAATATAGTAGAGAAAATGGTAGTTAAACCTACTAAAGTAGGTTAGTATTATGTGGCTTTCAAAGTGCATCTATAAGCATAATCTTCCCTAGAAAATGCTAGTAGATAAATAGTAATAAGTCCTGTAAGACAATATTAGAGAAAGCAATAAATATATGTAAAGTATAGATCTATGCGGTGTATTTTTGTGTATATATGTAATTATACTATTATACCTTTCTGCATAGCTCTTGGGGTTTGGGCATTCTTTTTGCAGTCCCTGGTTCTGAATTATTTTTCAGTAAAATGATGCTGAATAATTGCATTTGTTTATTGGTTTACCCATACATATCAAAATGCTTAGGGAAATTGGAGAAGCATTGGAACTTTTAAAGTAGTTGACCTTACTTAATCAAGCTTGCAAAGAGTGAGGCATGTGACATTGCTAATCTTACATTTTCATCCTGTTGATGCAATCTCTTTTCATTATAAAAATGGTTTTGGTATTGTATGTGTTACTAGAGAATTTTAAATACAAATGGATCAACACCACAAATAAAAACAAGGGGGCCTTTCCCCAGAAACTTGAAACTGGTCAGTGATAGAGCTGGTGGCTGCTTGAACCAGTGCTGTTTTCAAAAAAAGGAGTCACGCAGCCATAGAATGAACAGCGTCAACATTCCATCAGCATAAAGTGGAAAACCTTCTGTTGCCACCTTTTTGATCTTTCATGTTTATATTTAGAGTTTTGTGTATGAGATTTTTTCCTGTGGAAGATCAGTAGTAATTCCCTGCCCCAAAGTCTTACTGTCAATGAAAATTTCCTCCCAGGATGTTTTTCTAGTGCCCTCCATGTACGTTTCTGCATCAGAGTGTCTTTCTGAATATCTTGTACTTTATCGTGTGATACCAGTTAGTTGCCTAAGACACTTTTAGAGGGGGTGACACCACCTGAGTTTCGCAGAGTGGCAGTTCATATCACCAGCAGTCTGTTCTGAAGGCCTTCCAAAGGAACCTGTCCTCTTGCACTGGACTCCTAATTACCTGTAGTAAGTGGTTTGAATAGTTCCATCGTCTGACTATTATCACTTGGAGTGAAAATCTGAGGTGCTTAGAAGTGAAAAACACTTTCCCATTTGCCTCTGTTTCTCTTCAAGCTACCTGTGCCTCATGGAGTTGCCAAGGAAGGTTGTCTTTCTGGGAACACTGGAGAACTGTCCTGTAAGGTAAGGTGCCTTTTTCTGCTGGCTTAAATATTCAATGAACAAGACTCCTGTTGCAGTAAAATATCAAATGTTTTAGTCTTCAGAGGTTACACTGAGAAATATAATAGTGATTTATTAAATCCTTGTGTTTCTGTAACCAAAACAAAACAACTGCCAAAACAAAACCCAGTAATGGTGATTTGCCTCATAGCACAGGGACATTCAGCTTATAGAACAGAGCAAGAGAAATTCCTTGCAGTGCCAGAAGGGAGAGAAAACCAGTGAAGTTCCTCCATCTTACAGGAAAATAATCACTACCTTGGCTGAGTATCTGAGAATTGAGCAAAAGATAAGTGAGTACTTTGTGAAGTGCTGTACGTCAGCGAATTGGCTTTGACATATGGACTTGAAAGTATTTTCTTCTCTCTGCTTCTACAGTTCCTGACTTGGTTTTAGGGCATGACCCTATTAATATTAAATAGCTAGTGAAAATTATAGCAATGAGCATCCTTTTGACTATTATCAGAAGCCTACATAGCTGAAATAGATTTCTATGCAGTATGTTGTTGTCTGTTGTAACTCATAGTACTCTGGTCTTATCTTTATCTACGTTGGGCTTTTTTGGTTGGTGGGCTTGTTTTTGTGCACAGTGAATTACTTTGAATGTAATTCGCACACCATTGTTGTCATCACTGTACAGCCTAAAAGTTCCTAAGATAAGGTGGCTCAGCATTTTGAATATAATTTCCATTTATGAAGATGCCACAACAAAACTGTCAGCTCCCCTCAGTGTTACCTTCATATAAGCAAAGGCATAGTGGCTTCCTTGCTCCTCTTGGAATATTTGTTGGCATATGTGCTGTCGCTGCTGAATGTGCTGGGGGAGAGTTGGGTTGAGTGTTCCCTCGAGCAAGGAAGAGTGACTGGTGACACATAGTACCAAGCACCAGTGCCAAATTTGTCCATCGCCCTTGCAATGAGTGTTGCTATCAGTGCTACAGATTTCTGGCCCACAGAGATAGCTGTGATTTTTCTATACTTGGAAAAGTTGCATGCCTTCCCTTCCTTTCACTGGCTTAAAAGTAGATTTTGGTGAAATGTATTCTTGTTTATACTGGCAAAAGGCATACCAAATTCAGACCCATAGTTGTGTGACCAATAACCATTTCCTCCAGCAATATCAGAACAACTCCATGTCCAAAGTCAGAAAATTAAATAAGGAGTACATAACAGAGAATCTGTTAGTATCTTCCATGATTTATAAACTACTTGGATTTATTTGTTGTTGTCAGGATTCAAACCACCCTCCAAAAGTTTCTGACACAAGTGCACCTCATGCTGTAGTCCTGCATGATTTTCCCGCAGGTAAGTAAATGTGAATATTCTGGAAGCATGTTTTACTCCAAGATTTTCAAACGGAAACTTTCTTAGAAATTAGAGCTTAAAAATTGTGTAGAAGCTCAGTCTGCAAGGTCTGCACAGAGTTGTTCAAATCAGTGGATTTAGCTGTAGATGGATCAGTCTTTCAGTGAAAGCTGAGATTTATCAGGTAAAATTAAGACTTTTTAAAAACTGACTCTGGTTTTGTCTGTGGTATTTGTATTAAGGTTTTACATAGAGCAAATCAATGAGTGTGACAAGTACTGATAACTGAAATGATGTCTTACAGAGCATGCTGATGACTTGGGCCTTCATTCTGGAGACACTGTTTGTCTTTTGGAGAAAATAGATACCGAATGGTATAGAGGAAAATGTGGGAATCGCACAGGGATATTTCCTGCCAACTTTGTTAAAGTGGTTGTATGTAGGCTTTGTATATATTGCTACCAAGATCCTGTTGTGTTTGTTTTCTGGTTCTATTTTACTAACGTTCCTGTGTGTTTTACTCCATTATATGTTTCGATAATCTCTTTGATAATGTCTTTGATAATCCCTACTGGCAGCACAGAAGACTCATCAGCTTGTTTGTGTGGTATTAGAAAGATACCGAATTTGGCACAACCAGCTTGTGTTATGGGGAATAATTTGCTGTTAATTTAAAGCCAAGTGAGAAAATAACTGCCCTTACCAGATTCTATTCAGAAACGTGCTTAGTTTCTCAGGGTCCTCAAAGCAGATTATTTTTTGACAGCTGCATGTCAGAAACAACACTTGGTAAAAGATGGTTGATTTTTATGCCTCCCCCCAGGTCCCCATCTTCTGTTATTTTCTCATTCCTTGAACTTTGCTGGAATCACCACTATTTTAGCCATGTAATGGACTATGTCAGAGTAGCAATTTGGCCCAAAAAAATATGTTGTTGTATTTTTTTTTCCCTAGAATATTATTTTTTCTAACAAGATGAATTTGCTTAAGTGGTTTTCTAAGTGGCCGCACAAATGGTTCTGCTGGCACAGTGCAAGGAGATAGTGTTGTTGCAAATAAGCAGCTTAAAGCAATCCTGTTCCTGAATGTGACACTAGACAGTGAGTGGAAGGCAAGAGACAGATGCTCTTTTGGGGCCCAATGATAATTAATTTAAAAGGGATACAGTATGGTTCCCTGAAGTAAAATGCTGTGTCAAACCTATTGGAAGCCCGAGTTGTCCATTTTGTGACAGTGGAAAGGGCATTGGGCGGTCCACATCAGCCACGTGGACATTGAGGAATGCCAGAGTGACACCAGGATGCTGGGAAGGTGCGTGGCTTGGCACTAAAGACAGGAAGTGTCTGTGGTGACACTTCCTGGGCCAGCACAGCTGGCAGAGTGACCCCTGCTGCTGCATGGGCAATACCAAGGATTTAGCAGACATCAGAGAGGGTAGGGTGTCTGTTTAGCTTGTAATGGTGGTATCAGAGAAGAATTTTAAGATCTGAGAAGTGATGAAGAATAAAAACTAAACTCCTAGTTAGTAGTAATGGAATCATGCTTGATTCACTTTCACAAAAAAGATTTGTTAGCCAAATTGATTGGCTGCCTCTACACAGATCAATAATTTCATTTAAAAGCTCTTGCTTCTATTGATAGCTAATGGAGAAGAGGTTTTAAGTTTAAAGCAGTGGAGTGAGTATTTGGGGTCAAATTCAGCATTGATACAGACAGATACAACTTCATAAAACCTAGGGAAGATGCATTTCTATTTTAGTTGTAAAAGATTATTACCCTTTGAGAGCAAAAATCTTTTGGTTTAGAATTTGGTTTTTTACATTAGGTTAATTATACTTGAGTGAATTCTCCTGTTAATTCATGTCAGATTGCATCTTGCAACAAGGTCTCCATACAATACACTACAATCTGTTTTACAATATTGAGCTGGGTAGTAGCTTGGATCTGGATATCTGACAATAATACATAGTTATGACTTCCCATAGAACCTTCAGAGCACCACAGATACCAGCTCCTTCAGCAAGAGCAATGCAGAGAATATTTGTCCTAAGAGGCATTGTGATTTCCCCAGTGCTTCACACAATCTAATGAAACATTCCTGTTGATTTTATGGGAACTGGCTTATACAATAGTGAGCTGTAATCCAAAACTCTTCATCAAGGCCTCTTAGCTTGTAGTCCTGTACATCTCACAGATCATCCTTCATGTCTCACCAGAAATACAATTGAAGTCCTCCTGTGATAAAGGACTTGAATGTTGTCTGTTTGATGTATCTGTGTATTGATTTTTTTTAAGTTGTATTTCTCTGATTCAAGTGAGATTTGTGAGATGTGTTTTTGTTTGGAGAGCAGTTGGCTACCAAAGCACAGAAGGGGTAAGTGCAAACAGTAGTTCTGTCTATTGTGGTACACTGTGCTAGTAAATAATTGAGAACAATTACCAGTTGAGAATTTGGATCTAAATTCAACATGTAGTAGCATGTAGTCACATATTCTATCAATCAGTCATGCCACAAGTAGAAACAATAAACCAGCTTCATAAAACAAAACATTAAATATTGCTCCTTGTTTGCGTAAGATCAAAAAATGAGAAAACATGCATAAATTTACATTAATGTGGTCATATATAAGAGCATGCCAATTTCAGTGTCACACATCTGAAGAACAGATTATTTTAACCAGTTTCAAGTTTATTGTCGTTAGTTGCCACAAGTTAAGAGCTTGTAATGGAAGATATAATTTATTGTATGGTCTTATTAGATTGATGTTCCAGAAGAAACCGACAAGAAAAAAATACCCTCTTCATCACAATGTATCAAGTGAGTCAGATGAATTTTATTTGCTTTCTCATGTTGGTTTACGAGGAATGAAAAAGAAATATTAACTTTGAAGCGGTGGCTCTCTGCACTGAGGTTAATAGGGTTAACAATTTGTTCACCTAAATGTGTTGTAAAAATTAAATTATATGTTTTAAAAACCTGAATGTTTATGATGTTTTGTTAAGACTCATCTTTAGATAAAAAAGCCTAAGACCATATTTTCATGAAAACTGGTTCCAGAAACTGTGAACCAATCTAATTAATTTCAGCAGCATTGTACACTCTACTCTTTGCTCCTGGCCTTGCTGCTTTCATCCAGTGTCCTCACAAGATGGAACATGGTAGGGCTCCTACTCATGTGAAAGAACAAGATACAACAGGGCAGAATATAGAAGTACTTTAAGCAGAGAAGTCTGTCTGTCCTTAAGGTGTGCAGCTGTATGAATAAATCTAAAGTTCCCCCCACATAATCAAATCAATTGCCAGCACTTTCATTTCTGATTTTCAAACAACTTGTACTAATATTTGTGGGCAAGAAACGATTTTTCATGGTAGTTATTTCTCAGTGATATTTATTGGATTTCATAATCATTAATTTCAGGAATTAAAGCAAATTCAGGCAGAGGCGGGAGCAACTAGTGTCAGTGGGATCATTCACTTGTTCTTTAGATGAAGTGTGGTTTGTCAGGAACAAAATTTTATTTTAACAAGCTGCTTCTGCAGCTAAGAAAGAAACAGAAAGTTCTAGCTCTGTCCTGGCGGACACATCCTTGCAAAGATACTGAGTGGGGGACAGGGGTGGGAATCAAGCTTCTTACTTTGTTTGGGTGCTATGAAAGAATTAAAGCCTATTACTGCTTTTTTCCAGCACAGCATTTCTGATAAACCAAACATTTTTTTAGGTTAATTTCTTAAATTTAATTTTTTAGGTTCTTAAATAATGAAATCGATTTAAGTTGGGGGAAAAATAATTAGTTTTTTTTCAGGACTGTACCAAAGCATATAAAATTTATCAGATGCATCGATATTTCTTTCTTTGCTAGGTAAACTTTTTGCCCTATAAGATTATAGGGATGGATTTTACAGAATAAAGTATTTTAAAGTAGATAAAACCTGACTTCTTCCTATGAAACCTCCATGTATTTGGGATAAATATACAACACTCATCCCCCACCCATGTTTCATTGCATCTAAACTGGATGCTAGCTCAAAAAACAATCAAACTCTTAACAAAGGTGTATCAGGACACTTGCTTGGATATAGGCAAAGATAGTAAATTGGACAGGTGACCCAGAAACCAGGAGATTTATTGTTTCTTGGAAGGGAAGTAGGGTCTTTTGCAAAATACTGTAACAGCCAGCAACTGAGATGCAGAAATTGCATCTGGTTCCTCCAGACTCTGTACTCAACCTCCTCAGAAAGCAGAGATGAGAACCAGGGCTGGCCCACGATTTTCCACCTGTTCTATCTTCAGAGCACTTTTTTATCATTTTAATTAAAATATCAATCCATATATTGTACACAACGCTGTCTTATTATTAAGTGGATGGCAATAATAAAGTAATTTTCTCTTTTGTTTGTGCAGAGGTCCAAGATGTGTAGCACGATTTGAATACATTGGCGATCAGAAAGATGAGCTCAGTTTTTCAGAAGGTGAAACTATTATCCTGAAAGAATATGTAAATGAAGAGTGGGCCAAAGGAGAGCTCAGAGACACGTCTGGAATTTTCCCCTTGAACTTTGTGGAAGTAATTGAGGATCTGCCTGGAACAGGTATGAATATGTTTGCAAAAATCTTTTAGAGCATGGTTTTGTACTTAATGCAAATAGGCAGCATATAGGAAAAATTCCAAAAGGACAATGATTGCAGAAAGGAGGTAAAAAGAGGGAAGACCGATTTAAAAAAAACCCTCATAATTGATAGTAGGACTTCTTAAGAAGCTATTCTTAATAATGACTTCAAATATCTAAAATCTGTCATTAGTAACATTCTGAAGCGACACTGCTCATATTCTTAACTTGTGCTTTACTTACGTAGGTACAGAAACAGCACTGAAGAATAAAGTAGAGGTTTCGTCTTCCCTTTCTCAGGTAATAAAATACAGGCGAGGGCCAGAACTTATGTATAGATTTACAGAGACTATTATAATGTGAGAGTAACTACAGAACCTGACACCACTCTCACAGAACATAATGCTGCATTGTCACAGCCTCAGTTCTGACACTTGGCTTAAGCTGATTGAATTCAGAGCTTCTGACAAATTAACATTGGTAAATTTTTATCCTTTGTGCTGAAGGAAGTTCTTGTTAGCTCTATTTTAAATATTGCTGCAGTTATCTAATTTTGAATTTATTAATCCTTTCCCCTGCCACCAGAGATAAAAAGGAATGTGGTTGAGCCTAGATGAAATTCTGGGGTGGTACTTGCTGAAATGCCATTCTAGTCTACATCTGCAGTAGCACTATTGTATTGGGAGGGTGTCAGAACACCCATGTGCTATACAGCTGCTTTCAGCGGCATCCATCAGTTTTTGGGCTCCATTCACACTTCTAAAATTAATGCATCTCTTCTGTTAACTTGAATAGAACAACAGGCATGCAGTAGAGTGGTGTGAAGCGCTTCATGATTTTACAGCAGAAACCAAAGATGATTTATCCTTCAAAAAGGGAGACTACATCCAAATACTGGAACAAGTAGATTTGGAGTGGTGTAGAGGAAGACTGAATGGAAGGGAAGGAATTTTCCCAGCAGTTTTTGTTCAGACCTGCTCAGGTACAGTGCTCCTACTAGATGGCAATTCATTATTCATTGGGTTGTGCCAGTCATGACAGCTGTGGGAGAACACAATGGCATCAGCTGCATCAACAAGTCACACACCACCAGAGTCTTTAGTATTCTAAAGCTAAACTTAACTTTTGAACCAACTTCTCTAATAATGGCAATATAATGTTCTAGTCAGTAAGTAATCTGTGACGTGACACAGACTCTGGAATGTTTTCAAGTGTGGTTTGGGCATAGGCAAAACAGGGCCGTTGAGCCACCTTTAAGGAATAACTCAGGATTATTGATCCTGAATCATTTGAGAGCAAAAAGAAGGAAACTCGGCATTTATTATGTATCCCCATTGGGAAGTTCAAGTTAAGAGAGTTTTAAATTTAGCCTGCTTAGAAGCAGAACAGTAAATTTGCTACAGCAGTAGCAATAACATTTGGATAGCCTGTAGCACAATAGCAGGGAGAAAACATGAGAATGACAGGAAACTTCTCCAGAAACAGAGATTTATTTCACTCCAATGGAAGTAACTTCTCTTGTCCATGTCCTGTAGCTAGGGTAGAGCTGTCACAGCCTGGAGGAGGGAAGAAAGGAATAGCCAAAGCTCTTTATGCTTTTCATGGAGAAAATGAAGATGAGCTTTCCTTCAAAGTAAGTACCTCTCTTAGACCAATTTCCAAGAGGTCTCATGCTTCTAAGGAGTGCTAAAAAATAAGGTTCATCCACTGTGAAAACAGGCTTTAGACAAGAAGAATGAAGCGCATAGATACTAATTTGCACGGATATTAACACATTTGATAAGTGGTCTCTCTAAAAAACATTTTTTCCTTTATAACTCCTGTTTCCTAACAGCAAAAATCTTCATTGACACTGAAAAGAGGTCAGGAGTTGGCAGAATTCTCGACTACTCTGATCTAGTTAACATGACAAGATAAACCTTATTTTGCAGTACATTCAGTTCCTGACTGGTTGATATGGTTAAAGGAGATTCTCTTTGGACTAGAAAGAAAACTAAGTAGGAAGTAATAACGAGAGTGACAATACTATAGCAGCCAGGCTTCTAAGGGAAATCTAGTACAGCAAAATCTTGAACTGGCAACACAATACAGAGTTGCTATGGGAACAAGGGGAAAAATTAAATACATGCTGGATACCCAGAGCATGTTAAGCATGACCAAGAAACTGTACTTGATATTCAAATTCATGAGAAACAGTAGACTTCCACAGGAGCCAAAACACACATTATTTTCTCTTCTAAAACTTCTCCTCTTCTATTTTCACAGTATTTTCTCTTCTAAAACTAGCAAAATAGTTTCAGCATTAGCGGCTTGTAATGCTGAAAGGATAGATGATTCTTTAAAGCAGAAAAGGAGAATAGAAGGGTAGGGCATGGGACACAGTGAGAACAAGAACCAAGACCAAACACAGGAGCTGCAATTTAAATGGTCATACTGAGCTCTTAGATTGCTTTTCCTTTGTTTGGGAAAGTTTCCAAGTGGTAGAAAATACTGTGACTAAATTTAAAACATTTTTTAAAAATCCAGTGTTTTAAGAAAACAAACCCTAGAAACACACACAAACAGTAAAGCAGGGGACTCATGAGCCAGCTCTTAACATACCTGGAGAGCCAAAGCAATGTGAGAGGTTATCCAGCAGTGCTCTTCTCTCCCTCCAAAAGTGGTGATTTTTCAGCATAGACAAGTATTCAGCCTAAGAGAAGCTTCAGCTGGTTTTGACAATCTCCAAGTGATGTAACCAACAGAAGGGACTGGCCAGATCTTACTCCTCTTCTCTTTGATACTAATTGCTTCTAAATAGGATCAGGTCTGCATGCATTAACATTGCTCAGGTACATTACACAGTAAGCTGTACTGACTCATATTACTTCTTCTCTTACAGGCAGGTGACATGATAACAGAGCTGGAATATGTAGATGAGGACTGGATGAGTGGAGAGATAGTAGGAAAGTCTGGGATATTTCCCAAGAGCTTTGTTCAGATCTTAAAAACACCATGAAGTGTTGCCTTTGTACTACTCCCTTCGTGTGGGAGAGAATGTTTTCTACCCTAGAGGCACAGCAAAGAAATCAACGCGTATTGATTTTCAGTGTTTTGCACTGCTTTTTCTAGACAGTCATCTTGAAGTCAGATAAGAAAATTCGAGTCTTTTATGACAGTGTATATAATCACGTTTCATGAATGCTCAGAGAGTAAAACAAGCAGGCTTTTTGGCCATTTTGGACTAGAGACATACTGTAGTGCAACACCATTTTAACTTATATAGCATTCAAGTAAGTTTACTCTCTGGTATTACATTTATCATGCAGAAAGATGCATAATAAATAACATGCATAACATAAGCTTCTTTGGCCTTCTTTGAACTTCTTAAGATCTAAACTTTAAAAAATGTTTTAATACATAATTACAGCACTCAGTATGTAGATGGAGTTTGATAGTCGGGTTTCATTACTGCTTGAGTTCCACATTAGCAGTAGAATCCACTTGTTTTATGACTTAGAGGGTAAGAAAAATAACTGGTATTTCATAGTAGAAAGGTATCCAATCTAATACTACACAAGGATTTATATCTTTTATTTCCCCTCTTACTGGTATCCTTCTATTCTTAGCCCAAGCTGCTCATACAGCAAGATCACAGAAGTATAATTTTTATGTATTTTACCTCTTAATGAATTCTGTTTAAATTGGTATGAATCATCTTAGACCGTCCTTGCTTTCCTCAAAATACTTTGCAAGTACAGGTTTAGTTTTTTCCTACTGCCCACTGTTCTTTGAGCACCATCATACCCTTCTTCCCCAGCTGAAGTTAGGGACAGTGTTAATTGAGCTTTCTCAGATCGCAGCCATGGAGTAGCTGCATTATTCCAGTGTTCACTCAGTCTGCATCTTATTTGTCAAGCACTGGAAAATACTTCCACACTATTCCTAACCTTAAGTATATTATACAGCATTAGGTTTAGTTTTCAGCAGACGTGGAATTAGTTTCCAGTTTATTACCACTTACCAAATATACTGCGCATCCCTTTAAATGATCTGTCAGGGCCTTAAGGATAACATACCTGGCAAGAGCTTACTCCAAGTGGCTTTAATCAAGGCACTTAATAAAAAGCAGCAGTGTAGCTTGACTGACCAAGATGGACGTGATTGAGGTACTTTCACATTATAGGAACTTCTAGTAGTCAATTCCTTTTTGTAACACTTGGCTTCTAACAAAACAGTTAAATAGAATCCTGATTAACTGCTAATTCCATCAGACTGGAATAGAAGAAATTATGTTGCAGTTGGTTCTTTCACTGCTGCCAGTATTCCACCCTGTATCACAAAAAGGAACCAGTAGGCTGATGAGTCACTACTCCAGAGAGCTGCAGGTCACTGGGTATCAAGATACCTTCAACGAGACTTTTCTTCATGGGCTTGGCAGTTCAGGTTGCAGAAGGGCCAACAGTTGGAGGTGGACGGACTGGAAACCAGAATCATTGAGATGGACCTTAAGATAGTTTTGACTTAGTCATATCCCTGCTTGACAACTTCACTGGTATGAGCTGAGCACCACAGCAACAACTGCCTGCTGCTGTGAGATTGGGGTGCACCTGAACTGGGGCCTAAGTAGGCTGGGGAGTGTCGCCCTGCCCTCTTGTGCACTGTGCTCTGGTCACCATCACAGCAGGCAGGAATAGGCAGAGCCAGAACTGCAGACCTCCCCCCAGCAAGGAATGGGCATCCAGTCCCAGTGGGAGACTGGAGCTTACATGAAACAAGCCTGAGGGACCATTCACTCAGCAGTCACTATTAGTCGAGCCCTCCCACTTTATGTTCTATTGTGTTCACACACAATACTGTTCACATAACCAGGGGATGAAGACCACACAAAGTTTTAATGAGCTGAGGAATTGGACTTCTACTTCCATTAGGGATTAACGTGATAAACAAAATGCTGAATTATGTGCTGTTCCAGAAGGCTGGAAACACAACAAGGGGTACAGCTGTTACTGAGTTTTAGCAGCCCCAGTAAGCTTGTCCGAACTCCTGTGGAATAACATGGAAGTCCACAGTCAAGGACAATCCTTCCCATTCTCCCGTTTTCCTGTTAGGAGATTCTAAAGGTTCTTGTTTATTCCAAAAAAATAGTCATCTCCTAGAGAAATCCATGGAATAGCCAGGTCCTTCAAAGACATACCACACCAGTATGGTGGTAGATAAGGCTGAAGTGTATGATGTTTACTTACTGTTTGTCTGGCAGTTTTCTAAGGTTTTGATACAAGTCTCAAAAGTAGATCTGATTTTTTTTTTTCAATTTCCTCCTTCCCATTTTTCTAACTGTGAGTTGACCAGTTGTTTTTGTAACTTCACTGAATGTTTAAAGTCAGTGCCTGTTCATTGACAAAACCACTTTGCTGTATGTAATCTCCCTGTGGGGCAGGGCAGTAGCAGCAGCAAGGCCTTTTACTCAGAGCACCGATTGCCATCTAAGGACTGTTCGCATGGCTGAAGGCAGCTGAAACGCTGTCTGTGTGAATGCTGAAGCGATGGAGATGCTTTGCTTTCACAGGATAGGATTTTCCTAAGACAATGTTCAACACCACCGCGAGACTGCATACAGATCGCAACATAAAATTCCTAAGATGTACAAAAAAGCCAAGAACGAGGTGGAGTGCAGATCTTAAGCGCAATGTAGTAGCAAATTTCAGCTGTAACCTTGAAATCCAGCTAGATCTCCATGCATTAGAATAAAAGCCTCACTTACCGAAATACCTTTTTTGACCCATCCTCTGGAAATATCTTCAGGAAAAAGTCTTTGTTCTGTGTACAATGAGCAGTGTCCTAAATAAACCTTTGTTAAGTCCAACAAGTTTGTTATGGTACCTCTGTAAATTAAGAATGTATTTAACCAATAAAATATTTATAATTAAGTCATGAGGGCATTTTAATTGTCATACTGAGCTTTCCACTTGACAGTTTTAGGGATGTGATTCCGCTTGTATTTAGCCCAGCTGAAAAGTAACACCCCAGCCCTAGACAAGTAGTCCAAACCCCTCAGAGAATCTGGATGATTTTAACAGGTTATTCAAGCCTTGGAACATGGGTATGCCTCACGCTCACCACCTACAGAACCTATATATAGCATTTTGCTACCTGCAGCAAGCAGCTGTCAACACAGGGTATCATGCACAGTGGTTCTCACTGTGACAACGTTGTGAGGAAGACATGGGCTGACCCTGCATGTAATTCAGGTGTGTTCTGCTGCTTGCTGCTTTCATACTCCATGATTTTTCAGCTGGTATTTGCTGAGGGAATACAGAAGATGCACAGTATTTTCCTTCCTGATTTTCCCCCACCTGAAATCACATTACAAAGCCTACATTGACCCAGAACGCCTACATGGCAATGCACTGTTGCAAACAATACATTTAAAAGCCTGAAAACACCCCAAGTTCTTGTTCTTTCCCCAGATCCTCTAGGACTAATCTTCTGGCAACACAGAGTCTTCAGATATGCATGTAACAAAAACTACAGCTTCAAAAATGTGGCTGACTGAGATTCCTGGAGGCAGGTGACACCTGCCTCAGCAGTACAGATGGGAAGTGCAAAGCAATTCCTTCCCCCTGTTCCAAGGTTCTGAGTGTTGAGAACTCACTACTCTTCCTTCCAGTACACCAAATGGAAAAACCAGAACATATTAAAACTGTAACTTAGAATCACAAGACAAAATCACATCATTTGCAGCATTCTGAATTAAGTTCAAAACCATTCTTCTCATTTTGCCTACTACTTGCTCCAAACCAGAATTGTCAACTAGGAAAAAGTGAAAATCCCTGACAGGGAATGGTACAGCCTTCATGGGTAGCAGGGCCCATTCTCTTTTTCCCCCCTGTAGCTTTGTTGGAGCAGTAACATTTTCACTCTTTTCCTTTATTTCTTGTCCTAAGCTCTGTGACAACCAATTGCAAGAGCCACCACCCTCAGCGTAACTGCATTTTGCACTTAGGTTTTACATCACTAACTTACCAACAATTTAATAGGACTAAGTTTAGGTTTTCTGCTCTATTCTAAACAAAACACACTGATAGCACACAAAACTCATTTTAGCCAGAAAAAACACTTCCATTTTTAAGCCAGCATAAGTTGAACAAGAAACAAAAATGCTGTTAGATAATGAAAAACAGCCTTTAAATTACTCAGCAAAACATTTAAGTGCTTTGTTTTCAGAACACACAACATTGCTTTTTTACATAATTTTTCCCCCAATGGTCCATAGGTTCTCCATGATTACAGTCATCCCTCAGTTCTGACAGGTCAAAATCCAACACCCAACTCCACTACTTGAGCACATGCTGAATTTTCTGCACTGGCTGAAAGTAATACTGCTTCCATCATCATTATTACACCTTTAACACCTTCTGACCACTAGAGACCACATCTCTCCCATGAGATGTTGTATTAAATTACCAAGAAATTTAAATATAGGTACATTATTCTGAAGCAAGTAATCTGGATAAATGTAAGACGACTTCCTAGTAATATCAAATTCTGACATAGGTTTCCCTGTACTTTTTGAGGCACCTGTCACCAACACAGTCTCTGCACACATACACGAGGGATTTTTGGTGAGGACTAAAATTACTGGGTAAAATCAACATAGAGAATTCCCAAAAAGGACAACTCACCTTCTTCCACCCATCTCCACAACACAATTGGAGAAGTACATGAGTACTTTTTTTTTTTTTAACCAAGGCCGTAGGTTTACCTTATTGAAAACTCATCCACACATCCAGTACAAATATTGTCCAGAAACAATACAGGCAACCAGGCATTAGTTCTGTATATTAAAACCTTTTATTTTCCACCAATTTTTACTTTCACACAGACTCTTGCACGGGCGGCTCATATCCATCAGCTCGCTCTACCTTAGTGCCTGCCTCATCCCCAGAGGGCTTTCCAGCACCACCACCTTCACCATGCAGCTCCATCAGCTTTCCCACTAAAAAGAAGTGACAGAAACAGTGAGAGATGGAC